TGACATTTTTCCGAAGCTGTTGAGTATACTGAAGACATATGGTAGCGATCCCAGGGGATCAGAAATGTAGAGCAGGAGATCATCTGCATATAAGGAAAGTTTATGTTCCTCTCCAGCTCTAAACACTCCTTTAACCCTTCTCTTGCGTTAGGTTATACCCCCCTTCCCATGCTATTTTCGGTCAAAATTGACCGGTTTGTTTTGCACAGTGATATCTCTGGAACCCCTTATCCATATTTGATGGTTGACATCTCATTTGAACAGTCAAAGCAAGTAGAATCAAGGGGTGACAGACAGATATTATTTTTGGCAGTAAGTTCAAAGATAGTGCTTATTTTACATTACTGTATATTACAAAAATGCTTGCCATGTAGGCTGTGTTTACTGGAGATGGAAATGATTTAGTTAGTGTTGTAGCTGAGATTCTTCCCGTTCCAATGATGTATGGGATGTATTGATTTGACACAAGCAAGCCAGTGTTTCATGTCATGGTCCGGACCCACCGGTGGGCCCATCAAGTTCAGCATTCACTTTGATGAATATAAAATAATACACTGATACAGTTTTCTTCAATGCACATTTATTGAAAGAGAAATATAACAGAACGTGTGTGTGTGTGTGTGTGTGTGTGTGTGTGTGTGTGTGTGTGTGTGTGTGTGTGTGTGTGTGTGTGTGTGTGTGTGTGTGCTCACGTGTGTTAACGCACATGGTTGGCAAAGCAAAATTGTGGAATGTCATCTCAGGCTCATGTGCCTCTTCCTGGTCTGTTGTAGGCTCATAGCCTGGATTGCTGTTGTCTTCCATTTCTGAGACATCTTCCTCTATCTCCTCTTCATCTGGTTTCAATCTCCTCTTCATCTGGTTCAAAAATGTGTCCAGAGCCCCTCGTACAGAAAATTGCCTAATTGGTCGCCTGCTCATTGTGTCAATGAGTAAAATGTGAGCAAAGCACAAATATAACTGCTTGAGAGCCAGTAAGGGAGGTGCATTTAGATTTAGCGCGAGAAAGTGAGAGGTTTTTGTTTCTCGAGGGGCACAGAGCTCGCACCTGTGAGAAGGTATGATACATTGTATCCAGCAAGAGAAAGGGAGAGGTTCCCGTAACGTGTGTGTGTGTGTGTGTGTGTGTGTGTGTGTGTGTGTGTGTGTGTGTGTGTGTGTGTGTGTGTGTGTGTGTGTCTGTGTGTGTGTGTGTAGATCTTTTCCATCTGCAGGATGAACACAATCCACTCATACCCATTCATTTTCTATGTGAAAAAAGGTCAAATCTGACCGAAAACATCAGGCCTAGTGTGGAGGATAACATAAGGTATTGAGGCAATTGGATGAAAAACACAATATTTATGATTAAAATAAAAGTAATTCGGTCACTTTTGACCCGAAACGCAAGAGAAGGAAGAGCTTCACAGTTTTGTTTGAACACTGGGCTTGTTCCTGTTGTGCATTTAGAACATTTGTGTTAGGGCATGATATAGTAAATAAATAGTTGATAGTTTTGATATATTAATACTTAGACACGGCATCAGGAATCTTAAAAAAATAAAATGATCAAAATTTGTTAAAAGCTGATTGTATGGGATCTTTTAATCTCTAACATCACTACAGCTATATTGTACCTTTGTGTTTAATGTAGCAGTATTTGCAATATGCCAAGCCACCAGAGACAGCAGAGGGCTCACCAGAAAGGGCGTTCTGACAGCAAGATAAGGTCGTAATAATATTCCAATTACACAAACTAATTAACATTTCCAGGTAACGTTGTGAAAATATACAAAATATAGCATGTTTATATTGATATGGTTTTTCTTTTTTGTCAAAATACGTATACAACCGTTCATTGCTTAGCTAGCTTGTACACCTGTCTGTTTCTACAAACTGCATTGCTTGAGCATGCAGCGGCGGATCTAGAACATTTTACAGTGTCAATAGGTCATGCAGGGTGGCATATATATAATATGCTATCTAAGGCTGTAAAACAATATAATATAACGACCAACATCGTGTTTAATATTGTCACTTTCATGAGAGAGTTAGTCAGAAATGGATACACAACAAAATAAAAGCAGTAAAAACTGAATTGTATATAATTCAGTTTTTACTGCATTTATTTAGCATTTCACGTTATTTTTGATATATTTAATTTTTTTCAATCATATCTTCACTAAAATGTAGCATAACATAACGTCTCACATTGTATTTCAGTTATCGGTAATGTATCCAGAACACTGTTGTATTATCAAGACAGTGAAAAAATCAAATGTTCTTCCCATTACACATGAACGCAGCACGCATTGAGCTTCTAATGTGGTGGTTTCTGATTGGCTCTTTGGCAGGAAGTGAAAATACTTCATTCTCAGGGATGATGCGAGAAATTCACAGGGTTTCTCCTTAATTTAGTTATAATTTAGATTTCTGTGATAAAGTTTTGAATGGAATATAATACGGCTGTATTAACTGCATGTGCTCAGTTTGTTTTATTATGTTTTATTGGGATAAAAGCAGCGGAACCGTCGGGCGACGGAGGCGGATGGTGAGTCAAGTCGACACTAAAAACTGACATAGCCTATGTGTGAAGTTATTTTAACATCATGTTTTTATTTGACCATTTTATCTCTTGCACTACACGCAACATGTTGCCTAGTTCAGCCCTCATACTCTGACCGAGCTTTACAACGGATCCCATTTAAAATGTTGTCAGTTTACCAAGTCTTCCCTAAAACTTAAACACTAGGAGAACTTTTGTAAATTATTATTAGTGAATCGTAAATAAGTATTTTCCCGAGTTGTGTACTTATTAAGCATGTACATTTTTTGAATATTTAGGTATTTGTACCATCAAGGAAAATGTTGTACTTTTTACTGCACGACATTTTTTTACATTTACTTAAACAACCACCTTCCTTATGTGATAAGATGCCGTAATACTACCAAGAAGCTCAAATTGGCCTATAATACTTATTTATAAACAGAATTATATGAAACTCTTCTACGTAGCACTTTTAATTAAATAATGTTTTTTTTAGCATTTTAAGTACATTTTGTTGATAAATCTTTTTTTTTTTTACTTGAACTGTCTCTGGATTATACATAATACATTGCAACACATGCAAAATGTCTCCTACATCCGTCCTGACACCTGCTGTTACTCTAACACCAAGCTCCATTTATTTACAAATCAAGCAGATTTTTTACACCTGAAGCAATTTCTCACTTTACCTGAAGTGGAAACTAACTGAGTACATTTATCAACGTAATGTACTTAAGTACAAATTCTAGTTTTACCTTACTTGAGTAGTTCCATTTCCTGCTACTTTATACTTCTACTCTACTACATCTCAGAGGGTAATACCTTTTTTTCCCTACAAAACATTACCTGAAAACCTTCAAAAAAGTTGAAATAATACAGAATACACTTACATGCAGCAGAAATGATTATACAGAAACATCATATACCAAATTCTGGAAAATTTATAAATATTCATTATCTTGTGGTCAGTCTCTCTGCCTCAATCAGTATCTAGGGGAGATGTTTTTGGCATTTTTGCCCTTTACCTCCCTTCATTTCTACTGTATATAAAAGGAAAATACTGACGGGCAATTATTTTTTATTTCTTAAAGTAAAATTAATTACTTATTTTACTTTAAGAGCATTTAGCTAATCCTAACTTCCATTTAAATAAAGTTTAGATGCAGGACTTTTACTTATAGTGGAGTATTTTCACAGTGTGGTATCACTACCTTTACCGCAGTAAACAATCTTAATACTTCTTCCTCCTCTGCAGGGAGCTTTTATTAGTGTATTGAACTTGAATAATAATGGAATCATTGGAATAAACTGCAATCTGAAATGTTTATTAAGACAGCTCAAGTGATTTGAGAAGAAAGTTTCATGATTCAACTGACCAAACTCTTCTTAACTTGGTTCCACAATAAAAGAAACACAAGTTTAATAATGTTTTGTATGCAATGCATTACCATAGTGTCTATGTATTTTTCTGAATAGAAGATTTGTTTTGTTCTTATGTTCATGTCTGTTGTGTGTTCAGGTCTTCAGACTCAGGCTTCAGACTACAGGATGAAGGAGATTGTAACATCGACATTTTGGACGGCTTTTCCCTCTCACATCAACAGTTCATTGAAAGGTAAGTGTAGTATTAACATCTCCTTAACATCTCCTAAATATCTCGGAGCTGCCATCCATGGAGGACCTCTACTCCCAGCGGCTCAGGAAGAAAGATTATCAAAGACCCCCATCACCCCAGCCACAAACTGTTCTGTCTGCTGCCGTCTGGCAGGCGGTACCGCACCATCAGGGCTAAAACCACCAGACTCAGAGAAAGCTTCATCCCACAGGCCATAAGACTGTTAAACACCTGAACTAAGAACATCTATTACATTCACCAGTTTTTAACTTACAAATGATGTATCACTTGTATATAGATTCTTATGGCACTACTTCAATTCTATTTTATTGTATTTACTTGCACTATTTAATCTGTTTTATTGTGTTGCACTGTTGGAGGAGCCTGGGACCTCAGATTTTCATTGTCATAACTACACTGTAGTTATGTACGAATGACAATAAAAGCCTTGAACCTTAATAATGCCCCTAAAATATGTCATCACTTTAGTCAAATAATGATGTAAAATTCGATTTTTGTTCAAAGTTAGCCACAGATTGAACATGATTGTGACACCCCCACTCTATGGAAAATAACTGAATGTAGGTTTAGCTTAAATCATATTTTCTCCAAAAGGCTTATCTATATTGCTACTAATGGACAAAGGTCACATACCAAGTTTTGTCAAACATTTTTGTGTCTTTGAAAAAAAACATAAAACACCAGTTTTACATGTTTTTTTGTGTCAAATTTATTTAGAAATTCTCAATTTTGTGGGAAAAGTAGCCAAATCGTATCAATTGTATTTATGTTTTAAACAGCATCTATTTTTTGTACAACTTGAAACTGTTACTGTTGAATTCTGAGAATAAAAAAAAAACGTCTTAGTAAGCAGTTCAGGTTTGAAAAATGTTTTCTTTCGTCTTTGCTTTTAATGTTTACTTTATTGTAATTAGCATACATTTTTTAAATGTATAAACATCATTATCATATAATCAGTTTGCTCATTTGAAAAACAGCCTCTCTGTAAAACATTCAGAAACACAGAGTTGTCTTAAAAAACGACATTTACATTATTTCCTTTTGATTTCTCATCAATCGTCCTGATTTCTGAATGAAACCCTGCTGATTCAAGTGTTTCCTCAGATATGCGTACAGCAGACCGGTGATCCTCAGAGGTCTGACTGACAACACGGTGCGTATTTTGAACACGTGCAAGTACATCATGTTACTGCATTTCTCCTTAGCATCCATTATGCACATACTGTAGACTAGAGGAAGTTGTCAATAGGATTTTATTGTGTATATTTTCAGGAGATTGTATTTCATTTAGCACATTCCTCCATCACACAACTTGTTTTCATTTAGATATACTCTACTTTTTTTTCACGCTAATTTCTCATATCTTAATTTTATTATTAATGTTTGTATATTTATGTTTCTTGCACTTATTCTTGATTTTTTTGCCCTATTATATTTTTGATAATATAAATGTTTCCATCTATATTTCTCTGTGAATTGTTTTGAATGAAACTATGACATATTGCAACAACACAAAACCTCCTTTATTTTTGATCTGAAATGACAACTGAAAGTCACCATTTGAAACCTCAACAAGTTCTTGAAAAGGGACAGGTGGGCAGAAAGTGCCCCTCTGTTATTACTTAGATAATGAATCAGATCAATACTCTGCCTGTTTCAGAGGTTCAGGTCGCTGTGCTCCAAGGCCAGTTTGTTGGAAGAATACGGCGCCCGCAAAGTTCGTCTCAGCACAGCGAACACGTTCTCTTACAGGAAAGGTAACTGACAGTCTGCATGTACCCCGCAGGGTTTGTTGTTGTTTATTTATTGTTTAGAAGTGATTATTTTGTTCCAGTGGACATCCCTCTGCAGGAGTATGTGGACGATCTGCTGCGGCCGCAGTCTGCAGACGCACTCGGCAGCGGTGAGTTCAGAGAGTATTTACTTTTATTTTTGTATGTCCTATATACATTATGTTGCATTGTGGAAGGAGCTTGGGACTTAAGATGTTATGTCTGTGAATATGAGTCGGTAATGCTGCAAACAAAAGGGGGGGTGCGTTGGATTTCTAACAAAAGACAAAACCAGAGCATTAACTTGTGCCAGAATGACTGTTCCACCTCCGATATCTTGTCTTAATAATTCAAATATTGGAAAGCCAAAATCTTAATGAAAAAGAAGTGAATTAACTTCAAAAACAATGTGTGTTTGAGTTTAGAGTTTTTTAGCCTTACTTGAAAGAAGGATTTGAGGATAAAAGATGTTTTGTGTGTATTTAAAAATCTTTTTCAGGCCTAGTTTCAGAGTTTTGTCTTGTGACTCACCAGCAGTGGCGGTTCTACGGGGTGGCACAGGGTGGCAGCTGCCACCTCAGAAAAATGCCTTGCCACCCCAGTATGCAGCTTTGTTTTGAAAGAGAAATTGTGGCTCATCGGACATTTGAGAGAGAACATCTCTAATGTCCGAGTGCAAGTGAATGCAGCACAAGACGCAAGTCTTGTAACCCCTCCCCCGGCCCGAGCGTGGAAATATGATTGGCGGCGATTTAATTTGAACGGGGGACAGCGCAAAACGAGAAGCATTTTGGATCCAAGTAGACGGAAGGAATGAGGAATTTGCGGTCTACAATGACAGAGAAGAGACTTTCAAGTTTGGCTGTACTCAGCATTGAATCAAAACGCACTACAGCTGTTGATCTTAATACGTTTGTGAGGCGTTTTGCTGAACAAGATGGTAATCGCCGCATTCAGCTGTTATAGGCATGCCAACTTGATGCTCTGCTCACGGATGACTCGATGAGCATAATACACTGTTAAGATGATGACCTTACGTGTGAATAAACATTTTTTTCTTTGTGGGGGTCTGCCCCCAAAAAACAGTTTCAAGTCCTGAGAAAGTCAAATAAGACGGTGTGTAAAACTACACTGCCCAGCCAAAAAAAGTAACCACTTTGATTTAACTAGGCGAGTAGGTAAGGACTTTCCACTGGACAATAACTGCAGCGATGTATATGTTTTAGCTGAATACACGTGTTTTAACCTTAACTGATGCAGTTAGTCACTTCTTTAATGTTTGTTCTTTCTGATGCAGAGCCAAGGTTGTAACTGTTTGCAATGAAGTTGTGGGGCACTGAACTGTTCCTTTGATTCATGATAGTAATTACTTGTCTTTCAAATTTGAAGGAGGGTGAGCAAGCATCTTGAGGAACATTCATCATTAACTCCTCCAAAAAATATAGTTTATTTAATAATAACACTGAATATGTGAATCATAACAGTGATTGACAGCTAATTAATGTACTTATTGCAGCAGTCTGCATAGATTTAGTACCCCTGCTGGTAAAAGAGTGAAACCAACTCATTCAGTTATTGTTCAGTTAAAATTCATTAAATTATGTCTGCCACCTTATATATTTCTATTTAAGGCTTTACTGATGTGCCACAATAATGTCACCTAATGTTATTGAGTTAAAATATCAATATTGTGGCTTTCCAAGTTAACATTGATTGATATGACTGCGATTAAATCAGCATATACTTCTGCCAGGTCATGCCACCCCTGCAATTCTCCTACCACCCTCTTGCCACCCCATGAATATTTGTCTAGGTCCGCCCCTGCTCACCAGTAATGAACCCTGTCTCAGTTAGAGGTTCTGCAGGTGGATATATGCAGATTTCTTCTCCTTTTCAGAGTACTTTATCCACCTCTGGGTTTTATTTAAATGTTACCATGAAATCAATTGCATCAAATGCAAAATGTTGCCTAGCATAGCATAGCCCCGAGACCGGCTGCTACTTGCACCAAACTCAATTTCAAAATCGGTCAATTTAACATGTAACTTGAAAACAGGCACCTTTAAACACTTAAAGCACATTTTTACCAGTATAAGAAATTATTCAGGATTTTGTGATGGATTATTGAAATCATCATATAAACATAGTATTTCTACTTTGACTCTTCTTCCATGTCTGCACACAGAGCTTTATATTGACGTTTCTCTTCCTGCAGAGACGCTGTATTTCTTTGGAGACAACAACTTCACAGAGTGGCAGAGTTTGTTTGAGCAGTACGAGTCTCCCCCGTACGCTCTGCCTCACACCAGCGGAGCGTACAGCTTCGGGATCGCAGGTTCGTTCTGCTCAAATCCAATCACACACAATGCTGCAGAATGTCAACGTGTGGCCTGTTCTACGTTTAGTTTAGTCCTACGCTGGTTGTGATGTCAAACGTTTAAACCCATGCATGCGAACACTTCTAAGGATGAAATCGTCTACAAAGATCATCAACGATAAATCACTTAGTCTCTTTTGGTGTTTTGGTCATCCAAAGATTTATATAAATATTGTTTCTCTGCTTCGTTTTTGTTCTCGACCTAGAGAAAATGTCACCATATTCTACATGAATGAATTATGTTCCACTTTAACTGAATGCAATGTGGCCAAAGCCTATTGGCCAAAACAATTTAAAAAATAAAGAACTGAAATGAGAAAAACTTTCTTATTTCAGTTCAGTCAGACAACTCACGTGTTTCTTTAACATGTTTATTAGAAGCAGCATATAGTTAAGTTTGGCGACTAGGCTCGGGCATCATCACTCCATAGATATACATAGCACGATGAGTGATGATCGAATCACTAACCCCCAAAACTGCGTGGAGATTAGATACTATCCCCCAAAACTGCGTAGCCCGAGCCTGATGTAAATCTGATAAGTAGAGGGCCTGGCGAGCTGCCATGTGGCCATTCCCCCTAAGCACAGCGGCTTTAAGGGGAATATACTACTTAGTGAGACTGCTATGTGTAGGCCTGAGGAATAGCCCAGAGCCGATTCTTCCCCGAGCACAGCGGCTTTGAGAGGAATATACTACCTATATACACTACTTAGTGAAACTGCTATGTGAAGGCCCGGGAACAGCCCGAAAAGCCATCCCCCTTAAGCACCGCGGCTTTGAGGGGAATATACTACCTATATATGCTACCTAATGAAACTGCTATGTGAAGGCCCGGGAACAGCCCGAAAAGCCATCCCCCTTAAGCACCGCGGCTTTAAGGAGAATATACTACCGAGTGACTGCTATGTGAAGGCCCGGGAACAGCCCGAAAAGCCATCCCCCTTAAGCACCGCGGCTTTAAGGAGAATATACTACCTAGAGCGACTGCTGTGTCTAGGTCTTTGAGGCAGCGACAATGAGCTTTCCCCCCCAAGTATGCAGCTATGAGGGGAATATACTATAATAAAAAATGTATATAATCTAACCCAGCAACCACCTGGTATGCAATAACAGAATTCTACAGATATACATCTTTGAACGTTTACTCATCGAGTAGTGCAAGAGTTCATGGTTGTTTGTTCTCATTCCTGTGAGGCATGATATAGCGCTGGTGGGCAGAAGATGACCGACGGCCCAGGATACTCAGGGTTGAGGTAGGTGGATATAGAGCTGCGGTTGTGGCTGCGCAGATTCTTAAACAGTGGGAATAGCGATCTGGGGGCAGATCGCAGCTTAGGCAGAGATCACGCAGCTTGGAGGAGAACCCTCGTCGTTGGGTTTGCAGCCATCGAATAAACATGGGTGCCGACCCATGTGTCGGAGGGCAATGGTGCGAGAAGTTCAGCATGGAAGATAAAGGACAAAGAAAACAGTGTTGTTTTAGCAATGATTATTCGGGGTTCCTTGACTCCCCAAACAGAACTGTCAGACATTGAATGTTTCAAAACAGTGTGTATATTTGATCTCCAAAGTTAATCATTAAGGGTGAGATTATGCTGAGGATTAAAATGTGAGAGGTCTGTGTATATTCACCACCTGAGAAACCCATAGAAAGCTGTAACAACTGCATCTGACGTTNGCGTCGACAATGCATTTATGTACATGTCCCACATTGTCCCACACAAACATCTATAGATAGGGTGACCAGGTGCCAGAAAGCCACAAGTGGGACAGAGAGTATGTTTGTGTGGGACAATGTGGGACATGTACATAAATGCATTGTCGACGCGTGAACTGTCAACTGGGGGGGGGTACACTGTGGACGTCTGTCGCCTGTCAGCGCAACTTACATGATTCCGTTTAAAACATATAATAATAAAGGGCGGGACAGGTGTTGTGCCGTAGGTTGAAGGCTTGCCGTAGATTGAAGCCCTGTTCGCGGTGACGCGCAAAGGTGACGTCATCTCGTGTATTGAGCGTTCGCCTAGTTTTCTAAGCTTTTTTCTCTCTTTTGAATGATATCTTTCCCATCAGATTGAACAGCAAACGGCTGAATAAATAATGTGCATACAATTGCGAGGAAGCTCGTTTTAAGGACACAATCTTCGTATAGGAACAAACTTCTGTTTTTAAGTGTAGTCCCACTCTGTTGTTCCTCCTTCCTACAGAACAGAAAATGAACGGATAAGATGTAATTTGTCAAATATAGTCCTATTTCTCAAAACCTTCTCTGTTGTTTAAGTGTCTGATACTTGATAACCACGAATAGTAAGCAATGTTATAACAGTAATGATATAACATATGATAATGTCAGACACTGTTCTTTTCAATCATGTTAAGCAGAGCAGGTCTTTCTCCTACTAGATATGGCACCCCCCCTACAACTTTGTCCAGGACAGTCACACCGTCACCAAAATCACACTGGTGTTGGCTGTTCCCCTCTAGTTTATGCTCACAAAATAATTTTACTCTGGGCCCAGCAGGTAAAAAACTAAAGAGGGGTTGCAAATCCGGCAGAGAAGGTGTTGTGGCTGCTGGATTTGGAACCCCCCCTATTACTTTGTCCAGGATAGTCACAACGTCACCAAAATCACACTGGTGTTGCCTGTTCCCCTCTAGTTTGTGCTCACAAAAGCATTTTACTCTTGGCCCAGCAGGTGAATAGAATATAATACATTGTTTACAACGCTGCTAGTACTAAACCAGAAGAAGGAACACATTTCCATTCTAAGCAAAATAGGCAAAGAGGGCGGGGCTTCATAAAGTGAATTGTAAATTGATCCCTCTTTTTCGTATTCTGCCCTGTGCACAAAAATATGTTGAAGGTTTCAGGCAGGGTTCAAAAGGTCCTCTTTTTGAACTTTGGACAGAGCCAGGCTATTTTTTTTTTCAAGTCTTAATGTTGATAGTATTTCATCCTTAAAAAAATTAAAATACATAAACAAAACATTATAATAACACTGAAAAAGTTAATAGGTATAATGGAAAAAATAATTCTAAATAAATAAAAAATAGAACGTATCATTACATTACATTGCATTTAGCTGACGCTTTTATCCAAAGCGACTTACAATAAGTACATTCGACCAGGAAGATACAAATGTGAAGAAAACAGAATCATATAAGTACATCAGGTTTCATAGAGCCAAACATTTCAAGTGCTACTCAACTGGCTTTAGATAAGCCAGTCCTTTATTAGTATATAAGTGCTTTGTTAGTAATTCTATCGCTCGAAGTGGAGTCGAAAGAGATGCGTTTTCAGTCTGCGCCGGAAGATGTGTAAGCTTTCTGCTGTCCTGATGTCAATGGGGAGCTCATTCCACCATTTTGGAGCCAGTATCAAAAAGAAACAAGGTATTAAGTAGAAAAGAATAATAAGTATTACAAGGCAACAAGTACACATTTAAAAACACTAACATTAACTTAACAAAAAAGACAAAGAGTAAATAAATAGTTCAGTAAAAAAAAACATTAAAAGCTGTTAAAATTAATAAATCGTTAATATTTTAACGGTGCTATACTATTACCGATACTGCGTATTGATCCAGTAATTTAACTGTATTTTTATCGGTTATTTTTATTTATTTATTTTTAAATGGAAAAACTAAACAAATTTGAAAAAGAATTAACATTGCTTTGTTTTATGTAAAATAAAAATAAAAACATATTTTGTAACAAATCATTTGGACTAATTTGATGATGGAAATGCAAAACAAATAAAAAATTATTTAGTGCAAATAATTTTGTTTTACCTTTAATAATAAACGTGTGGGGGAAACTTCTGAAGCAATTGGAGTCAGGACTCAGAGAGACACGAGGAGAGCTGGAGCTTTGATGGCAAACACTGACGGTTTATTTGGAGCTTCGGCCGGAGAATTCACACGACATGTCACGGGCCACGAGTTGACCACACGGTAGAGATGCCACAATCAATCCTCAAGAACCCTCCTGTAGCTTGAGGTTTTAACTAGTTCAGAGTGTAATATTCAACATTCTTCAATAGATAGAATAAACAGCTGAGGACACATTTGTTGTCGCTTATGGCTCGGGGTCATCTACACCCCGAGAAAGATGTGTTCCAGGTGTCCCACAACAATAACTATCTCTGACCGAGAGTTGCCCGGTCATAAACTGGTAACAACAACAACAACTTGCTAGGGCAGCCTTTCCTTATGGGAGATAACGGCTGCTCAAGGTTGGTCAGCTGCGTCAGAGGGCAAAAGGTAAACATGTAGGGCGAAATTATTCCCTGACAAAACCCATGTTTGTATAATTTAGTCAACCCAGTCTCATGGCATTTCGTGTTATAGTCACGAAATTTAATCTATTGATTCGTGTTCACCAACACGATTATCCCCTTTTTTTCGTGTCACACAGAAC